TCTTGAAAGCAACTGTGTTTTCACTGATGTCTGCCTTCTAGGGGTGCTCTCATGACTCAATTTCTCTGTTTGTTTCTACTCTTCTCTGCCTTTTTGTTTTGCTAGGCTGTGTGTATGAGTTGTGTAGCTACAGCTTCTGAGAAGATTATATTTTGGGGTTATTAAAATACTAATAATATGGAGTGGTAGGAAACTGCTGACCTAGTGTGTAAGAAATTGCTCTGTCAACCCAAAGGCAGGAGGTCACATCTAGTACCCACTGTGCAGGGGAAAGATGGCCACTCTCCTTTCATGGGATTTACAACCTGTGAAATCGGGATATGGCAGTACGTTTGAGTTTTAATATGGAGTGACACAGTTTGGGGACAATCACCTCATAGCCTACTAGTTTACTCTAAATTCCAATAAAATTACTATTGGCTTTTGTGTTGGTTCAATTTTTTGTTGCACAAGTATACCCTACACCTTATAGGATATTTACCTTTCTCATCCTGGCACTAAATGCCAGTGCACCTCTTCGCTCCCTTAGCTCCAGCTTTAAGCATAGGAGTAAATACACACACCTTTTTCTAAAAACGGACTCTGGGCATGTGAGGCCTTGAAGGTCTCAGGGATTCTTCCAAAAGAAGCAACAGAACACCAAAGATTTTCAATTAATTGGCATTGAGCTTAAACATTTTAAAAACATGAAACTCTAATCATTAAGCATCGCACTAAGATGAGGTAGTCTCTTCCCCCTGACCAACCCCTTCTTAGAGCAATACTATCTGGAAAAAGAAAAATAAACCAGGTACCTCTAATCTGTGGTTCTATCTATTTTAATGATGTATTAATGATGTCCTAGACATATTTTTTTCAAGTTGTTACTAAAGAGGATTTTGTGCAAAACCTCCAAGTACAACTATTGCCTTCCAGTCAGAATTGACTCATAGCTGACCCTTCATTTTGTTTCTGAGGCTGTAAATACAACAGGAGGAGCATGGTTTCCTGGACAAAGCCATCGGAGGCTTCTGACCACAAAGTACAAGAGAGGCACCTTTTTAGCAAAGAAACTCCCTATGGACTTCGCCACCAGAGTGAGGACATTCATTTATGACTGTGTATTTTATCTATATAAACACAATACCAAGACTTGAATAATAATATCTTATGAATTGAGTTATAAATTTCATATTGTTAAACTCTGATCTCTAAACCTTAACTGTACATGTCACAAAAACATCATCTTAAGCAGGTCAGATCTTTAAAACTGACATTTGTTCCAAGTGTCACTTAAAATAGTAGATTTATTTTTGAAAGAGCCTTAATAAAAACATACTAAAAATCAAGGCAAGGTATTTTGTCTTAATTAAAATTAACAAAAAGAAGAGCAGAAAATTCCTTGGACATCTAGACTTTAGTTCCCTGATGCAAAGTATTCTTTTTTTATTTAAATATTTTTTAATTAAATTTTTATTGTATTATTTTTACGTGTACCGTCAAATTAGATCTGACCAGTACAGGAGGAGATTGCCCCTTCTTTCTCCAGCAGAGAGCATCTGGTGGATTTGAACCACGTACCTCTGGGATTGCAGTGCAGCGTCTTGCCACTTGGCCACCAGAGCTCCCCTCTGATGGAAAGTATTTTTAAAGTGTAAGTACAGCTAAAAGGCAGAGATATTTTTTTCTCTCATGCTCCTTCTAGGTAAAATGAAATATGATTGTATTGTGATGGGAAAGTCTGCTGTTAGGGACCTCTCAAAAATACTGAAGAGCAATGGTGTCACTCTGGAGACTAAGGTGCATCTAACACAGGCCATGGTTTTTGCAATCACTTGTTATACATCAGAGAGTTGGACAATGACTAGGGAGGATAGAAGGAGAACTGATGGCTTTGAGTTGTAGTGTTGGAGAAGAGTATTGAGTGTACCATGGACTGCTAAGAAAACAAACAGATTCATCCTGGAGAGGGTCAAACCGGGCTTCTCCTCAGAGGCAAGGATTCTGGGGCTTTGTCTGACATGCTTTGGACATGATGTAAGGAGGGCCCAGACCTTGGAGAGGAACATCATGCTTGGGAGTGTGGAGGGACAGCAGGAGGGGAAGACCCTCTATGAAGTGGATTGATTCAGTCACTGGGGTAATCAGGATGGGTGTGTCAGAGGCAGTGTGATTGGCACAGGATAGAGCACGGTTTAGGGCTGTTGTACATAGGGTCGATATGAGTTGCAGGCGACTTGACAGCACATAACAACAACAACAACAACCTTGAATTTATCAGTAGTGCTCCAGTGACTCCAGGAAATAAGAAAGGTGGTTTCGGTTGTTATATTAGCTGGGGAAAACATGCTATTGGTAGTTAGTACTGAAGACCAGGGATATTATATATTGTACAATATGTAGGATAGTCCTGCCAACAAAGAGCTGCTCTGCCCAAAAGGTCAATAGTGCCTCCACTGAGGAACACTACTACATGCCCAGCAAAGATCAACTCAGGTCTTGTTACCTGGGGGAAATTAGTCAACTGCCTCTTCCTAGTGTCAAGAATTAGCTGTCCTTGTTTTCAACCAGTTGGTCCTAACTACAAGACATACCTCACATGTTTCAACTTCTCTATAATCCCAGTTGTTTTTCATGTGGAAAGTGATATTATTGCCAGCGCAAAGACACACAGTTCAAATTCACCAGCTGCTCCAAGGAAAAAAATGGAAATCTCCTTCTGTTCTCTTTGCTGCCTCTGAGAACTCATCGGAGGGTCAGCTATGAGTTGGTATTCCAACTCAATGGCACATAACAAAACATTGTTAATGTATGTAGGGTCAGCTGTTTTCTTGGTAAGGCTTTGCAAGTAAAAAAGGCTAAGGACAGCTCTTTTTTTTGTAGAGTCATTATTGGTACACTCAGATTTTTTGTTATTCTTCATATCTAGTTATTCACCCATCTTTCCACGTATTCTTTGAAATAAAGCCCATGTTTCTTCCTTTCTTTCTCAATCTCCCTCTCTCAGATTTACTCAGCTCCCACGTGGTCTCTCGATTGTCTGCTGGACATCTGAATGGAAGAAATTATCTCCCAGACATGCTTTGCTTACGGTAATTCCACCCCTATCCCAAACACTGCCTTTTCTCCAGATATTCCCTATATATCACTACCCTCGCCTTGCATTTCTACTCAAAAATCTTCAGTAAGCCTTAGCTTCTTATCACATTACCCTTCAGTGCTATGTCAAATCCTATTAAAAATACTAAAATATTAAAAATGTGTCCTTTCCACATACTAGATGTGAAGCAATAAATATCATTATAGTACAATAGAAAATAGGTTTTCATTTTCAAAATGTATTTCTTAAAGTTGTGTTTACTATTTCAGTCCAAGCTTTACTGGCTTCACCTTTCTTTGTACTCCTGCAATATTACTATAACAACAGAAAGAACTCTGAGTTTGCCATTTTTCATCACCTGTTGCCTTTGAAAACCATTAAGGTTCAAGCACTACCTAATAAATAACACAGTAGTAAGCACACTGCTGAGAAAATGACGGCACACTCACAAGGGTGCACACAGTTGTATAGTGCTTGCTGAAGACCATTCCACAGTTTGTGTTTACCCAGTTACACCATGATGTGGAATGGCTTCTCGGGACCTTGCAGGCTTATGGTAAAATGTAATCATTAATACACATTGTCCGTTGTTAAGGAGAATGAAATAGAAGAATGTGGAAAGATGGCTAACGGGTCCAGAGTTTCTTTTTGGGAAATAATGATGTCCTAAATTTAGTTTGGGTAAAAAAAAAAAGTCATAAAAATATATATTTTTTAAAAAGATTAAAAAAATATAATCATTAATACAAATAATATGAGGCTGTTGTGCAACCACCAGAGGCTGTAAAGTTACCAATGTTTCCTAGTACCAGCTATATTCTTATAACAGACCTTTCAGCCAATATATATGTAAACAAAAAATAAGCATAACTAGACAGCACATCAAAGTGAATTAATCTGAAGTAATGAATCTATCACTTCTGAACTGGTCTTCGCCACCACATGGTACCTGAACACATACTCATTCTCAATTTGTAAGCAAGGCACTAAAGACTGCTTCCAACAATAAAAGCTCAGTCTACCAATTTTAGATTTTTATGTATTGAGATAAGATATCCAAATATTCTTGAATTATTGCATTTTGACCAACCACTTCTACCTTCAGATTTAATATCCAAAGATGTTCTGCCTGCAGATCTCCAGCATTCTTTAGAAAGAATATCAACCATCAGTGCAGCTCTTTGAAAACGTTTCCATATGTTATTTATTTTCTTGCTTGTCTTTTTTAAAATAAAGAAGCAAAAGCATTTATAATCTCCATCCAATTACAGAGAAATAGGTACTATTGTTGCTGTTGTTATGTCCTGTCAAGTTGGCTCTGACTAATAGCGACTCTATGTACAACAAAACCAAACGCTGCCTGACCCTGTTATCCTTCTCAGTACTAAGTTACAGAAAGCATTACACTAAGGAAGAGATGTTAAAAGTCGAACAACTTTGGCCTAGGCTGGATTGACCTTGTAAACATTTCCCCAGGAGGTAGACATATACATTTGACGTTTTGTCAAACAAGAGATAGTAAACAATGCTTCTCAGATCCTAATAAATTAAGACAATGTAAAGGCATTAAATAAACTTTCCTCTTTTTTGGAAACCATAGATGAAACAACATATAAGTTTCAATAAATTAGAAAGGGAAATATTAAATCTTCATAGTTGAAATGTTTGCATCTTCAAATCTTCACTGATTTCATTCTGAAGCTATGATTAGTAATGAAAACACATCTTCAGCAATCTGTGTGCAGCACAAACTCTTCAAGTGTCTCCTTTCTCTATGACATTGTCCATAGTGTAGGCCCAGTGTTGAAACAAACGTCGAGTCACTGCATAGTCTATTTCCTTCACTCTCGGTATTCCGAGTGAAGCACAATATTTGAGCAGTAGAAATTTTGAGTCTCTGCTTCCTCCCAATATTGTTGATTTAAGTCCCTCCAGCTCCCGCTGCTGTTCCCATGAACACAGTATTGATAGGTGGCAAAGAGGACACCATTTCTCTACCATTGGCACCATGGGAATCCAGAGTTTCTTGAGCAGGATACTGATTAGAAGTTCCATACATGCACTGAGACGAAGAGGAGGGAATTGAGGTTTGCAAGCTGGATGCTGAAACAGAAAGTACAATTACCAATTGAAAACTGGTATTTTTAGCCTCTGTACTAAATTTGAGTATTTGAGATTTGTCAGAGATGTTAACCTTTCCTTCCATTTCCCCCACTTAATATTCTCTTCTTGTTCTTATGAACCATGTGCTGATGGCAACTTCAAACGACCCTATATGACAGAGCAGAACTGCCCACAGGGTTTCCTAGGTTGTGGATACCAAAGCTGTTCTTCCTTGGAGCTAGGCTTAACTGCTATCAATTGGGTATTTTATTCCATACATTTCAAATATAACATTGAATTTTAACTTAAATTCTGATAGTTCTCCAAAAAAAAAAGAGTTCCCAGTCTTCCAGCCCTTCCCATTCTGACCCCTATCATCTTAGTCCAAATCACCATTTTCCCTCACCTGAATGAACATATAGACTTCCTAACAGGCTTTGGCTTTGTGACCCTTATTTCTTCCCCATCCTCCACCCTCCGGAGTAGCCAGACTGGTCTTCATAAAGAGTAAATGAGATTGTCACTCTTCTGATCAAATATTACAACGTTTACTCTTAGAGCAACATCCAAGCCCTTTGCATTTAGCGCTTAACATTTTATGTGAATTGTTTTCTGTCTGCTTCAGAAGCCCTGAGAGCACAATAGGCTACATGTGAGCTGCTAACTGAAAGCTTGGCAGTTCAAATGTAGCAGCTGCAACATGGGAGAAAGACAAGGCAGTCTGCTTCCAGCCTCAGAAACTCTATGGTGCAATTAAACTCCTCAGTCTTTTTATTAAGAACCCCTGGGAGTCAGAATTGACTCAACATCTATGAGTTTGGGTGGCTTTTTGTCTGATTTATTTTGTTCTATTCTCTCCCTCATTCAGCATGCTCAAGCTAAACTGGCCTTTTTTCCTGACTAAATTCTGCAAGTGTGTCTCTCTTTCAAAGGCTGTGAGTTTGCGTCTTCTGTTCTTTCTGCCTAAACTCCATCAGCCTTCCACAGAGTTACCTCCTTCTTGCTACTCAACTTTCAGCTCAATGTGCCTACTGTAAGATTGTTTTCCCGAAGACTTTATGTAAAGCCTCTCTTCCATCATTTTCTGCTATTTTACCTATTTAATCATCTCCTGAATATCTGAAATTAAATTTTTAATATTTTGGTTTGCATATTTGTTTCTTTACTCTCCTCTTACTAGAATGAACCCTCCTTGTAGGCAGTGACTCTTTCATATGCACCTCTCTCCAGCCTCAAAACTTACAGTTCTCAAGATCAACAACAACAAGACTCCCTAACTCTACGTTTCCTTAATATATATGGTCATTTCTAGCTCATTGTTGTTTTCTCATCTTACTAACTATCATCTTTTCCCTCATCAAGAAGCAGATTTCATAAGGAAGGAAAATCTACAACTTAAAGTTCTCACTGAGTCTCCACTGATTCATGAAAACCTCACCTGTGTCAGAGCAGAATTGTGCTCCATTAGTTTTCAATGACTGATTTTTCATAAATCAATCACCAAGCCTTTCTTCCAGGCACATCCAGGTGGATTTGAACTTCCAACCTTTTGGTTAGCAGTTAAGCATGTTGGCCATTAGAACTACCCAGGGTCTCTTAGAAATCTGCTTTGGAGCCTAATTTTCTCTTCACTATAACACCACTTATTCTAGTCCTTTTTCCCCTTGAAGCTTTCTTTTTCATTTAGTTTTAAACCAATTCTGACAACAAATGCTTAGAATTCACTCTACACACAACCTATGTTCCATCAAAGCTCTCACTATCTCTACAAGTAAACAGAACTAATAGTAGCAATAGCAACACGGTACATTTTCATCTCATGGCGAGGCAACTTCCTGAAGTGGAATTTTCTGCTTCATTAGAGTAACCTAGAAGCAATGACCATTTGCAGATATGTGGAGATGGGCTGCTAGACTCTGCTGGGGGGGAGCATCTGTGATGGTAACAGGCAGGGAAGCAGTGCTTCCTGTTGAATTACTGAAACAACTAACTGGGTGAGAAGAGATGGAATTGATCTCATTTTCCTTTATGCTTCACTGCCTGACACAGTGTCAATGGCCTTTATGTGTGCTAGAATAAAATCAATTGCAGCAGCAGATTCCAACCATCTAATATATAAATATCAGCACTCTCTCTTCATACTTACACGACTATACTTACATGATAACTTAGTCATCTTAGAGACTAAATCTATGCAGGCTTTAACACCTTTTATCTAACTGATTGATTTATTAAGTTTCTACTATAGTCAAACACTTTGCTGGGGGCTGCTGATGCATCTAGTATGCATTGCAAGATACTTAGCTTCTTAAAGACAGCAATCTAATTGGAAGAAGATGACTCTGTTTTGCTTAAATGATACAGAAGAATAAAAATAGCAGTATTTTCTACAGAAGTGTCTGATCACACGCCACACAGGATTGAGAAAAGGCTCATAGTCTCCATGAGAGAGCACATTAAAAAACAAACAGACAAACCCAACATAAAATACCGTGCTGGATTTGAAGTGCACATGGAAACTAAAGGGTTTAAACACACATCTCTTCACAATCCTTGTTCCAACACTGAATCAGACAAAGTGAGGTGTAAGATAATAATAACTGTTCTGCAAACTTATTAAACTGCATCTAACAGGCTGCATTAATTTCTGAAAACAAAACATATTCCAGCTATTATTTTTAAAAGACTAACATATCTAGTAGTATGTTGATCAATTATGTTGACTGAGAGAGTGTAAGGCTGGTAGGAATAAAGATTTGGCCACCTGCTTCAGAAAGTCAGCCATTTAAAAACCCCATGGATTACAATAGACTAAGTCACAGCTGACCATAGGGATAGTAGAAGACTCAGCAATGTTTCTTGAGACTGAAATAATTATGTTGTATCTGAAAATATAGTGGTAACAGTTACTGCTATTGTTTTAGAAGATTTAAATTCCATTTCTGTATCAGAATATACAGTGGTGACAGTTACTGCTGTTGTTATCCAATCTACAGTCAATTCATGGAGATCTCTCACAAAGAAATGAAACACCACTGAATTCTCCACCATTCACATGATTAGTGGAAGATAAACTGCCTAGGGCAGTATGAGTACCAAGCTTGTCTCAATATTTCTCCTTCCTATGTAGAGCAAAGACAGAGAAGGAAGAAAAGACCATGGGGGATGTCAGAAGAGACTCTGCATATTGTAATAGAGCAACTAGAAGCCAAAGCAAAGGGAAAAAAAATCAAGATATTAAGGAGCTAAACAGAAGGTTTCAAAGGGCAGTGCAGGAAAACAAAGTATTATAACGAAATGTGCAAAGAGCTAGAGTCAGAAATCAAAAGGGCCAAACTTGCTCAGCATTTCTTAAGCTCAAGTAACTGAAGAACAAATTCAAGCCTCAAGTTGAAATATTTAAGAATGCCTTGGGCAGAATATGAAATGATCCAGGAAGTATTAAAAGAAGATGGAAGAGTATACAGAGTCATTGTACCAAAAGGAATTGGCAGACACAGAAGAATTTCATGAAACAATGTATAAGCACGAGCCTGTGGTGATGAAGGAAGAAGATAAAGCTGCTCTAAAAGAACTGGCAAAAAACAAGGCCCAGGAGTTGATGGTATACCAACTGACATATTTCAATAAATAGATGTTGTCCTAGATGTGCTCACCAAGTTGTGCCAAGAAATCTGGAGGAAAACCACCTGCTGAACTGACTGGAAGAGATCTTTTTGTTCCAGATTTATTCTGATTCCAAAGAAGGATGATCTGACAGAGTGTGGAAATTATTGAACAATATCATTAATATCACATGTAAACAAGATTCTGCTGAAGATTATCCAAAAATGAATGGAGTAGTATATCAACAGAGAACTGTCAGAATTACAGGATGGGTTTAGAAGAGGCCATGGTACTAGGGATTTGTAGCTAATGTTAGATGGATCTTGGCTGAAAGCAGAGAGTACCAGAGGAATGTCTGTGTCTCATTGACTATGCAAAGGCATTTGACTGTGTGGATCACAATGCACTGTGGCTTATTGTGAAAAGAATGGAAATCACAGAACACTTGATTGTACTTATGCAAAACCTATACTTGAACCAGGAGGCAGTGGTCAGAACAGAGCAAGGAAACACTGCATGGTTCAAAATTAGGAGGGTGTATGCCAAGGATGTGTCCTATCTCCATATATTTTCAATCTATATGCAGAACAGGTTATCTGGGAGGCTGGGCTCTATGAGGAGAAATGTGGCATCAGGATTGGAGGAAGACTCATCAACAATCTGCATTGTGCAGATGACACAACCCTACTTGCTGAAACTGAGGAGGACCTGAAGCACCTGCTGCAGAGGGTCAAGGACTGCAGCCTTCAATATGGATTGAGGCTCAATATCAAGAATACAAAGATTCTCAAGACTGGGCTGACTGGCAGCATTGTGATGAATGATGAAGCTCCAAGTCAGCACTCTGGGCATGAGCAACCAAGAAATTAAAAGATGAATTGCATTGGGAAAGTCTGCTTTCAGAAACCTCTCCAAAGTACTGAAGAGCAATGATGTCAGTCTGGAGACTAAGGTATGCCTGATACAGGCCATGGTCTTCGCAATCACTTGCTACAAATCAGAGAGCTGGACAATGACTAGGGATGACAGAAAGAGAATTGATGGCTTTGTGATGTGGTGCTGGAGAAGAGTATTGAATATACCATGGACACCTAGAAGAACAAATGGGTTCATCTTAGAGAGTGTTAAACCAAACTGCTCCTTGGACACAAGCATTCTGAAGCTTCGTCTGACCTACTTTGGACATGTTGCAAGCCAGGACCAGTCCTTGTAAAGGGACATCATGCTTGGCAGGGTGGAGGGACAGCGCAAGAGAGAAGACCCTCGATGAGATGGATTGACTCAATGACTGGGGTTAATAGGGATAGGTGTGTCAGAGGCAATAAGATTGGCACAGGATAGAACAGGGTTTATGGCTATTGTACATAGGGTCGCTATGTGTCGCAAGTGACTTGATGGTACATCACAACAACAACAGCAACATGCAGAACAACAACATTACCTACTACTGGAGTCCGGCACGCAACTGAAGCTGATGTATCTGCATAATATGAGCCGGTCTTTCTGCCATTGTCATCTAAGATGTTAAGTGGATCATGGATATCACTGTAAGGAGGCAGAGAGCGAACACTGCTGATAACAGAAACGTGCTGATTCACCATTGATCCAAGTCTGTGGGACTCTGGATAGTTTATATTGCTTCCATAGTATCCTATAAGAGAAAGCACGCAGAATGTACTATTAACTTTTTGTAAAGAATATCCCAGCAAATAAAAAAGGTTTAAGGTATCAAATTATAAATATTACTTTTATCTATATTTATTATAGAATTTGGCTTGTGCTTATTTAAGAATATGATTCACCATGCTGTTTTTTTAATTTTTTAAAAAAATCAAAACTGCTGTCCTAATATTCATTTTGACATGCTGACTTATCTCAAATTTCCCTTATCTAAATTAACAACATCTGTGTAATAATTTTCATTTGTAAATTCACATGATTACAAGATAAAAATTGGCACACACTTGGGAAAAGAGGTGTGAGAACAGCCCATACAAAGATACTACTCTGGTAATTGATCAAGTCAACAGGTCCTTAAAATCTCCCTTAATATATTTTACTAGTCTAAAAGCTCTGTTTTGATCTGATATTTATAACTTCCTTTTAGTTCTCTAAAAGAAACATATAATAAAATTATTTTCGACAGACATAACATTCTTTTAGGGGGACTATTTAACTTTATTAAAGTATTAAAGCCACAAGAATTACAGAATATGTTCCTATGTGGCAAAAATGAGCTCCAAATGTCTAGACTGTACCATCTTGAAAAGTTTTATGTGGGATGCCCTTCTATGGAGTACGGGTGGATTTCAATGTCTAGTTTCGCATTACTGCCATCTCAAAATCCAGGGAAATTGGTTTATAAATATCAATACCGTTTGGTGAATTAGGAGGCAAGCCTGCTCCTTGGCAGCCAGAAACTCCTGCATTGCTCAGGAAATTGAAACTTCCTGTATTTAGAAACTGCATACTGTGTGAATCTTGGGCGTGTGAGGATGATCCGTAGGTGGAAGATGGCCGGGAACTATATGGAGACCCAGCACAGCTGCCACTGAAGAAGTCTCTAGAAAGCTGCTGTTCACTCCAGCTCATACATCGACCGTGCTCCGTGCGGTGAGGGTAGAGTCCTGATGTGGTGTGGGGTTGTGCTCTAAACACAGTGGGATAGTTAGTGTTGGTCCCATAAAAGTCATGAGTGGTTTGAGGAAGAGTGGGATAAATGGGCTCCGGATAGGCTGAACAGTGTGATGGGGTTGCCAGGACAGGGCTTGGGGGTCTCCCTGCCATTGGTCCCTGGTTGATGACGCTTCCCCGGCTTGCCATGGCTGGAGAAATGGGTGGTGTCATCAGATGACCAGTACTCTGGGAAAGTTCCATCTGATCTGGAAAAAAAAATTACCAGAGCATTCACTTAGTGATCATTCATTTAGTGGAATTGTGTAGATTGAGTAACATTTAAAACATACACTTGAAAGAATGATTAATATATCTTTTTCCAGCTTGGTTCAATACACCAGAAACAATGATATGAGAGAACTGACAAACATAAAAAATCTCAATTTCTTAAAAAAAGAATGACGGTCAGAAGAGCCTATGACGTTGCATGGTCCTGTAGGAATGAGAATGACTTGAGTTCAAACTTGGTGAGAACAAGGAGTTGTACTGTTCACAATTCTTCATAACTTTAAAAAAAGTGTTTTATTTTAAGATAAAAATGAAAAGGTAATACAAGTACTTTCCAACTGATATTGGTATTCTGTTCCATTAACTGCATGTTAGTCAGTTTAAATGTAGAATATCTTTTTTCCCCCCCTTCATTATTATGGGCTTTATACTATCAGAGAAACCCTGGCGAAGTAGTGGTTAAGTAATTGGACTGGTTAGTAAAAGCTCACTGGTTTTGAACCTACTAGCTGATCCTTGGGAGAACTATGAAGTAATCTGCTTCCATAAAGATTTACAGTCTTAGAAAATCCTGTGAGTAGGTCTACTCTACCCTATAGGGTCACTATAAGTCAGGGCTGACTCAGTGACTGTGGGTTTGGTTTGGGTTGGCTTTTTCTTATCAGTATCTTCATAAATCCAATCTTTATTTTTCTTGGGGAGATGGTATAAGATTAATAACAACAAATTACACACTGTATGCAGCAATAACATTACTAACAACAAAATGGACTCGGAAAAGCCCAAAACGAACAGTAGTGAGCATAGGTTGCAACACAAATACATCATAAATCAGGAAATACCAGTAATCAAGGCCAAAATGGCCATGACTTCAAAACAGTCAATTCAAAGCATGACACAATCACTACTGGCAAACAGCTTGACTTAGGAATGCCATTAACTCCGTGGGCTCCAATTTTCCATTGGCACAATTTAGAGCCCTTAACTACAAGGCTCTTCAGGTTGAAAATTGTTTGCTTCCAATAAAATACTGTCTATAAAGACCAACCATTTGCCATTTAGTCAATTATGACTGATGGCAATCCCTGAACTGCATGCACTCCTAGGATTTTCAGCCACTGACTTATCAGAAGTGTATCAGCAGGACTTTTCTTCTGCGGCATCTCCAAGTGATACTGAACCTTTACCCTTTCAATTAGCAGCCAAGCATGTGAATTGCTTGCATAACACAGGAACTCCAATGTATATAAAACAAACTTCAAAAGGACATAAAGTCATAATCATTTAAAGTAATATCTATTAGCTACTTCAAGTCACTAAACATTTAGTTTGACACAAAGGGGTAAAATTATTGTCGTTATATTTCATTTAACTTTCCCTGTTAATGCTAGAATAGCCTAGTCAAGGCCAAAAATAACTATGCAATCTGTTTCTTTTTAAGCTTTAATCTCTTAGGGATTTTGAATAAATCTGTTATATTTTCACTAAACAAAGATCACTAATTATTCAGACTCTTGGTGCAAGGTGAGAGAATGATTGCTTTTGTTAATAATTATATCAATAAAGATGTGAATTACAACTGTTGAAAATCACAACATTATAAAACCATTTATTCTTGGAATCCCTGGATGACATTAGTTATTAAGAAAGGTAAACTAATAGGTTTTTCCAAGATTTGTTAGGGCATAAGTGGGGGGCTTTGTTGTTTCACGGCATACCTGTGAGTGACAGAGTGTCTGTATTCCCAGGTGGAAATGGATGCAGACTAGAGGTTACATTTCCAGGTTGACTAGCTGACAGAGGAAGATAGGCTGTCTCCACATAGCTTTCATTCTTCACAGTGTCACTGGCAACTGAGTTCCCTTTATTACGGTTGGCCAGAAAGCATGAACTTGGAGAAGCAGTGAAAGTAGCTTTACTTGCATCTGCAAAGATTTTTTAAATGAGAATACTAAAATTATTCTTATATTCCTAGTAGATTAAAAGAAATGGAAATTGTTTTGTGATTGTATAATGAACCTAGAAACCAGTGAGAAGTGTTTTTATTGGGCAACAAGGCAGGAAGACCACTGGTATTGGCAATGGTGGTGGGATTCTGTTAACTGGAAGTAGGTGTACTCTGAGGAGCACTAAATAATTCTCTCTGGAAAGAAGGGTCTTTAAAACGAAAATCCTCATACCTCAAATAGATAGATGCCATTCCTGCTCTAATTCCTATAGATCTTATTTTAAACTATTTTAAGGCAGTATGTCACATGCGCTACTTAAATCACAGTTATTTCTTCTCTTATACTGGTGGCTAGTCCATAGAACCATGTGCTCAGCATGTCAGAAATTATGAGGATGGCAGAAGTTAGGAGAGGGTTCAGATCTGTTGTTCATAGGGTTGCTATGAGTCATACTAATCACAATAGTCCATACAGAATTTTACTGCCAAACCAAAGATTGGAATCACCAACATTTGCTCAGGAAAAAAAAATGGAGGGAGGGGCAATCCACTCCCAGATGTTTTACAGCCTCAGCCACTCTAGGAAGGGTCAGCTATGAGTCAACTCCAACTTGGTGGCAATGAGTTTGAATTTTCTACAATGCACCAAAATTCCTAGAAGCTAAGAATACCAATTCACACACATTAGAGTCTTCCTATTCCAACTATCCATTGTCACTGAGTCTATTATAATTAATAGCGACCCAACAGGACCGAGTAGAATTGCCCCATAAGGTTTCCAAGGTTATGATCACTGATTGCCAAGTCTCTTTCTCTCAGAGTGCTGCTGGTGGGTTTGATCTCTCAACCTATCATTTACCAACCAAGTCCTGAACCACTGTGCTCCAAAGGGGTGACTTACAAATAATTACAGGAAGAGAAAAATTTCTCCAATAATATGAACACACTGTAAATAAAAAACCTCAAAATCTATTGCGGTGGAATTGGAATCAACTCATAATTGACCCTTCACTGGATTTCTGAAGCTGTAAATCACATAGAAGGTGACTGTTCCTTGTTCTCCATAGAGCAACTTGTGTGTTTGAACTGCAAAGACAGTTCAAAACAGCCTTTGCACTGGCAGTGTGACTTCCTATGGATTAGGCTCCCAGAGCTCCGTATACTGTAAATAATGATATGTTTCTGGGGAGCCCTGAGACTATTTTGACCCCACCTAACACGTGTAACTAAAAAATGTCTTGCGTCCTAACAAAGAAATGTAACAAGATAGATATTTTAAATTACCTGAATTCTTCATATACTTGTCCAACAAATTTTGCAACTCCTGCTCTTTGTCATTGTTAAACTGGGTCTCCATGGCCAGGAGAATGTACTCATCAAGAAGCATTCGGATCAAATGGAAAGAACCTTGTTTATGGGTCAGAAATGAGAAGAGAACATTATGAGACAGGGGTAAAAGGGAAAGGGGAGCGCAAGAGAGGAAAAGAGGCAAGCAGAGAAGCCTCCTTATCTCTGTGACCATCTCGCAACACTCTACAAGGAGCAACTGAAATAAACAAATACTTGTTGGACTTTCAATGACCTGCTAAGACCAACATGCTTAACTTGAGTCTCTAATCTTTCTGGGTACCGCCTGCCCAGCTCACTGTGTGTACTGTCCTGCCAGCTCTTTGGCCACTAATTACATCAAAGGAAAATACGGATGAAAGTGAGACGTGCTTTATGCTTTAAGAGGGCACACACTGGAGTGTGATAAGCTTTAACCTGGGGAGAATGAGGTCTATGCTATTTCAGTTTACTTTGTACTAAATAATTAGGTAATGGCCAACATGGTCTGGACAAAAAAAAAAAAAGAAGAAAAAGAGCCAACCCAAAACTAAAAATGTCTCAAGTAAGGGGATGACTTTCTAGTTTGAAACAAAAAAACCTCTTTGATTTCAAAAAAGCAAAGACTATTTTTCATGTGACAGATGTGCAAAAGATGTATGTTGGGAGAAAAAGTTAACTTGCTTTAATTATTTAACTGATTTCTCAACAAAAGTCTTTTTTTTTTAAATGAGTTTAGGTAATGTACAATTACTGTACAATTTCAAAGCTCTTAATAGGATTCTTGAAATAGTCACTTCAATGTCTTATTTATTCCTCAACTCAGATTTGCTGATTTTATTTAGTTCTACTAAAAATGAAATAAAAAGAATGCAAATTATCATCACTTTTGTAATGTGCAGATTTCTCAAAGTCAACTATTAAATGCTGAGGTTTTGCCCACTCATTTAATATTATACCAGCAAAATCATAAGAATCACAGAAACTGTAAAGAAAAAAAATGGTAATCAGAAAGCTGACTTGGATCAATTTGATTCACATGTCATACGGATTAAGAAAATTGGTTCAGAAACATGGGAGTGTATCTTCTCAGCTGTTTTTGCTATCTGGGGTGCAGTGATGAAGGTGCCCAATAAGATGTGAAATTTGCAAGATTACAATGAATAATGCCTAGGAAAATACTGTCTTAATTGTTGTTTATTTGTTTGTTTAGTAATAAAAATTTACCCAAGTACTAACGGAATATAATGATAACAGTTGCTATTAATTGTTACAGAATCCAAGGCAATATGCTTTCACATACAACACCTCATTAAAGTGCTCACACAACCATTTAAGAGCTACATTTTCTCCTTTCTGGAATGAGCAGACTAGTCTGGGTAAAGCTTATAGCTAGGAAAAACAATTGGTAGGATTTGATCCTACATGTGATTTGACTCCAAAAGTCAGTACTGGTTCACTACTCAACTATACTTTTTGAGAGGTGACTGTGTCATGTATTTAAAAATGAACAGGACAAACAGTGCATTTCATTTAAGAGTTTCATAAAGCACATAGGATACCAAAACTGGATGCATTGTTCAAGGTGAGATTATGCATTACTCGAGCACCAAAAAAGCTCCACTTCAGTAGGAAGTCCTGCGCCCTCTTCTTTAATGATCTTCCATTCTGTTTGCTGGTCTAAAAGGAAAGGGAAAGAACAAAACTATAAAATCTGTCACCTTGTTAACTCACGCAGCCTAAGTCAGACCAAGAGGTAGGTAAACTGACATATGGGCAGGTGGTGTGCCGTGCCATTTCATCAATCTTATAAAATGATCTGTCCAGGGAATGTAAGTGTGGCCCCTTTGTTATAATTTTATGAGTAGAAGATCTTTTATTCTAAATTATTTTATCACCCAATAGATTTAGACAAAAAAAAAATGAAGTTATTTCTAAAATTACTTTTCCAGTTTCCTTTGTCAGAACTTTAAAAATGACAGAAGGTGAGATAGGGGGAATGGAGGTGGCTATATGTTTCTGTGAATTATTAACTCCAATTTCTCTGGTCCTAAATGATAATGTATTTTCCCTACAGAAGAAACAAAGTCCCTAAACCATAGCTAGTTTTCCTTGGTATGGAAGGGCTAACACAAACTTGTAATGGATTGCTTCATGAATGACTTAAAGGTTAATGAAAAGAGTTGAAGAAAGCGTAAAAAGAAAAACAAAATACCAAACTCTTGGGATTCAGAATTCAAATTCTTAACACCATGCGCTCTCAGTATTTATGAAAACTTGTTTAGGAACATTTTATATCTTTCCAGTTTCTAAGCTTAGTTTTCACTACTGTATAATTCAGCTATAACTATTGACTAATAGTGAAGCCATAGGGTCTTTCACCCCTAACTCAAGAATAGGAGAATGGAATTGAATCTATCCCAAAGTTATCAAATTGAACATCTATTCCTGAATTTGGTTCTGAACTGCCTTATATGTAGGATTATATAAGCTTCTCAAAACCTTTTTGACACAACCTGCCATACTTCCCACCCACAGGTATTAATGAAAGATTTCTTTTCTCAATCTGTCATTGAAAGATACCTTAATAACTCTCTGCTCTACCACTGTATCCAACCATTCAATAAAAGCCTCCACGGTGGCATTTTTCTTAAGGAGATCCTTCAGTTCTTGGAACACTGTGATAGAGTCATCTACCATAAAAACAGAAAAGAACAAATACTATTGTACTCCCTCTGAATGCAAGGAAAAAATATATATAACTGAAATAGTTAATTATTAATAATTGCTACATTTATAGCATAAAAGGGGATAATCATTAAGATAATTATATGTTTTGAGAACAGCAAACAAAACACCCCACTTTAGCCCTTTATCATTCAAAATTTCAATCACAAGTATATGAATTTTGTTATACATAGGAATACAGGACTATATATTATAAATAGACATATAGGGAGCACTGGTGGCCTAGTGGCAAGAAGCTGTGCTGCAATCCTGAAGGCCTGTGGTTTGAGGCCACTAGCTGCTCCATCAGAGGAGAATGGGCAATCTCCTCCTATGCCATTAACTGCCTCTGAAAATCCACTGGAGGGACAGCTATTGGTCGGTTCCAACTGGACAGTACACAACAACAACACAAGGAATATAGTAGGCAATAATACTAAAGTTGTCCTATAGTTGAATAATCACTCATTCAACTCTGGTGGCTTAGTGGGTACAGAGTTGCAATGCTGAGTGCTTTACAAGAAGAAGATAGGCAGTCTCCTCCTGAGTAATTTACAGTCTCTGAAAACTTGCTGGAGGGTCAGTTATGACTTGGTTCTGACTCAACAGCAAGTGAGTGAGTGATTCATTTTTAATATAATGTATTTATTAAATGGAAAAGATTAGTTAAAAGGTAATAAAAATACTAAGTTAAACTTTTATATATTCAGCTTTATACAATATTAATTTTATTTTAACCTTTTGCTGTCAAGTTGATTCAAATTCATAACACACTCAATTGATTTGAGCAAAAATAAAATTCTGTAATTCGGAATAGTGCTACTTACATGGACAACTTTTTATGATGTAAAATATGAAGAAGCAATTCAGAGCTATTATCTATGTCTTAAGGATTATAAAATCAAAATAGAGACGAGATTCAGCTGTGGTCTCTGAGAGCAGTATTTTATATGTTCTATAGCCTATCAGAGGCTGTAGTCACTGTATTTTCAGGAAAGTGAGTGAAATAAAAGAACAAAACAGTTGCTACTGAATCTCCAAACTCATGGGGACTCTATGTGCATCAGAGAACTACACTCCATAGGGTTTTCAGTGACTGGTTTTTTGAAAGTAGCTTGCCAAGCCTTTCATCCGTGAAGCCTCAAGGTGGACTCCACCAATCTTCTGTTTAAGCAGCTGAAAATTAAAGGAGATTGCAAGGGAGAAATAGAGGACTGTTATCATCTACTACAAGTTCAGTCTAGCTTTGTTAAACTTTCTCAAAAAGCCCAAACATAAGCATAAGGTCTTTGCTTTAAAAAGCAGTATGTAGTTTTGGTATGCATCATACACCATAAGAGAATAAAACACACACCAGCAACTAACCTGGTGCTGTTCTGATCCTATAAAGAATAGAATTGTCCCTCCCGTAAGATTTCTATGTGAAGCTGTATCAACTTTTGATAATTAAATAGTAATAAAAGAAAAATACAGAAAGGTTTCTCTCTAGAGACTAAGAATGCTGTAAAATAATTAAATGTTGAAAGATTTCATAAAATATTTTTTGTTGTTAGTATTCATACAGTTGGAAAAGTATTAACACACTTCATAACTATATTTATCACATATGGTTCTATTATTATGGTATTATGGTTGCATAGTCAATTATGTGCTGCTAACCCAAAGTCTGGGTCTCTCTAGAGGTTCAATTCCATCAGCAACTCTGAGGGAGAAAGATGGGCAGTCCTCTCCTATGCTACTTATGGCCTCCTGAAAACCCAGTGGAGAGTCAGTTCCACCTCAACAGCAAGGGAGGGAGATATTCTGATTAAAATTGATAATACACACTAAGATTCTGTTTGGTCTGGGTTAGGAAGAAGACCATGTGAGAGCAGGAAGGATGGCACTGTAAGGAGCACATTGGGTGATACCAACTCTAATGATACCGCTGGACCACCCGTCCTAGCAAAGAATTACCTAATATAAAGTGCCCAGATGCCAAGATTGAGAAACTCAACTCCAAACAAATGGGCCAGACTTACGTTCAGTGTAAAGATCACTTTCGGTTTCCGTGCTGCCTGAAATGGTGAGAAGGGCCTGAGAGCCAATACTATTCAAGTCAACTTTTTCAATATCAGATATCATAGAATTCACGACATGCTGGTCAAAGAGAGCCGGTCTGGCAATCTGTGAGAAGTTAAAAAAAATACACTAAATTACACCATTTATTTATATCCCATTTTTTAAAAGTTTTCATTTCTATAATAATGCTTCCTAGAGAGAAAAATTTCATAAATAACTCTCCACTTGTTTTAAAACTAAAATAATTAAGATTTATGATCATATATGTGTTAAGGATTAAAAAAATTTTTTTTTAACTTAGAAAATGAGTCTTTTATCAATTGTCACATTAAAATGATTTTAAATGTTACTTTTCTTATCTGTAACTATCTCAAATTAGCCCTTAATAGCTTAGGAGACTAGAAAGTTTCATAAAACAAATCAAAATGGACAGCATTACTGTATCTTAATGGTATGCTAGTATAGTATTTGTAAGTTGAAAATTACTTTTTCCTTTCTGTGTAAGAGAGCTATAACTAGTAAGCAGTCAAAAATCTATTGATTTCACAAAAACTTGTTTCAAAACATTAAGTATCACTTGAGATCATTCTCCACCAACTTTTTACCAATTAGATTCACGGAAGAAATAATATTGTACATTTCAATTGCATCAGAAGATTTTTTTTTTTAATTTTACTTTTTATCTTGAGATGATTTTACATTGAAAGAAAAACTGGGAAAACAGTGCACAGAATTACAATACACTTTTCTCCCAGCTTCATTAAAATCAGGAAGTAAACTTTTGTACTATTACTGAAACCTCAGACACAATTCAAATGTCACCAGTTTTCCATTAATGTCATAGCTCTGATATAGAAGTCAACCTAGAATCTCAAATTGCATATAATTTTTATGGCGTGTTAGTTTCTTTAATCTACAAAAGTTTCTGGTTTTCCTTGCCAGTATATTTATTCCTGATTTGGTGAACCAAAAACCTTCTGTTTACCATCTTACCTGAACAAGATGTAAGAAAGATGTCTGTCTTTTCAGAGAAGACACAAATCTTCTCACAACAGGTATTTTTTTGTCAGTAAGGGCTTCTGGCAGGTTCTCCAAGGATGAAACAACCCATTGTTCCCAATTTTTTGCAAAGTTCCTTATGTCGGCCAGTAAGCTACAAAGAGACTTATATGTTAAGTACTAGGCTGTTCAAAATGCATTAAACACTAATTGAAAGTGCATTATTAACTCTCTGATTCTAAGGGCATGACTTTTCAAGTTGGTCTGACTCAGCCTAGTTTTCCCATTTATCATCTTGATCAAATTACTTAACCAATTCAAACTGCAGTTTCCCTACCTGTTAGATCAAGATGAGGATAGTGAAGGCCTCACAGATTTATGGAGAGAATAAGATTAAATAGTTTATAGAAAGTGTTCATAATCTGCAATACAGGTAACATTAAGTAAATACATGATACAATAATTTCTTACAAAATATTTTAATGACAACATCTATGTGACTTGATTTTGCAGCTTTCCACTTTTTGAGACTTGAAGAGGTCATATTTGCATAATAAAAACATCATTTTGCAGAATGAATTTTTTTAAAGCATACATATTATAGGCTTGGTGGCCTAATGGTAAGGAAATGTGCTGTCAAACCAAAGACACATGGTTCGAATCCGCCACCTACTCTGCACGAGAAAGATGGTCAGTCTCCCTCAATGTAATTAACTGCCTCTGAAAACCTGCTAGAGTATCAGCTATAAGTTGATCACAAGTCAAGGATACACAATAACTTAGAAGATTGCAAAGTTTGGTGAATTATGTCATGGCACATTAAATACATTCATCAATAATCTAAATATTTTATCTCAACATAAATATATTTGAAGTCATATGCATGTTGGAAATAATGACATGGTACAAGGAAAAGAATAAGCAGAGTTGGACCCAAACAGGCTCTTAGGAATTAGCTCTCTTTGGGCAATAAATGAATTTCTTCCTGCTCCCAGGTTTCCTCATTTTTCCCAAATTTTAGATAAAAAACCAAAAACAGTCTGACACACAATATAAATGAAAGATTATATCAAACACAGTGTACACATATCAAACACTATGTATATGAATGAGTGTATGCAAACCAATACAAGAAGAAAAAAAAGCTTCAAAAGTTGTGTTTTTTAAAAAAAGCAAACCAAGTATTTAATGATAAGGAAGCAGTTAAAGACAGTATTTCCCAGATACTGGGAACCTATGCAACAACTATAAAAAATTTCTGTATTTATTGATATGCAAAGATTTTCAAGTACACTAGAGTCAGGATGATGAAGCTTCAACTCATATACTTTGGGGGGGTTTTCAGGAGTGGCTAGCCCTTGGGAAAAGACATCATGCAGGGTAAGGTAGAGGGGTCAGCAAAAGAAAGGAAGACCCTCAATAGATGGACCTGACATGTGATTGTATCAAAGGGTTTGAGCAAGGTGGGGGTCACGAGGACGGCGCCGGACAGAGCAAGGGTCCAAGCGGTTCTTCAAAGAGTTGCTGTGAGTTGTAGTCAACTCAGTGGCACTTAACTAATTTGTTAAAATGTATTTAGTATTTTTATAAATATTCCTGCAAAAAAGTCTCTGAGATAATAATGTAATATGTTAACAATGTCTCGAGATGATAGGAGGGATTTTTTAATTATACTTACGAATATTTTTTCCTATGATGACTATGAATTAATTGAATAGTTAAGAAATACACACATATATAAATCATCCCTTTTAGGTTCGTTGCAGTAATTAAAGTAATATAAGTAACGTCTCAAAGCCTATGTTGTTTTTAATAAAGGAGAGTGCAGTGCCTAGCCAGTAGGCCACTAGAGCTCCTGTTTTTTGTTGTTAGGTGTCATCACTATGAGTCGTTTATGACTCAACGGCACCTAACAACAAACAACAACAGGAGCTCTAGAGACCTACTGGCTAGAAACTGCACTGCAGTCCCAAAGGTATGCAATTTGAGGCCACCAGCTGCTCCACGGGAGAAGGATAGGCAATCTCCCCTGTGATTCTGCCTTGGAAAACCCGCGGGAGGGTCAGCTCTGACTCTACAGTGAACAACAAATAGTGGTGCAGTAAATAATGACTCCAGCTGTTGGCCAAACATTCAGCAATGCAAATTCATTAGATGTTTTATAGGAGAAATATGAGCAGTCTCCACCCATACGGATTTACAGCCTTGAAAGTGTGACAAATAGGATCATTATGAGTCAGAACCCACTCAACCGGACGAGGGTTTGTCATCATTGCTAGGAGCCCTGGTGGCAAAGTAGGCCAAGCATTGAGCTCCTAACTGCATTGTGAATGGTCTGAACTCATTCTGCCAGAGAAAGACGCGTCTACTAATCTTTGTAGCCTCAGAAGCAAAAGGGGCAATTCTACTCTGATAGAAATGGAAGGCACACCACATTAAAAGGATAGACATTTCAAGGATTCAAAATGAAAATTGAAAGGAGCTGCTAAAAGAAAAATATCAGGTGTCTTACAAACAATTTAGAGGTAAAGGTGAATAAAAATATTAATTGTGACAGTGTAATCACCAACTAGTTCAATATGTGTGTTTCCCCCCACATTCTAAAATAAGAATTATTATTATACTTTGTTTTAAACAAAAAATTTATTCTTTTTTTCATATTTTTTACTGTTCACTCATTAGAAATAAGAGTTTTTTTAAAATCCTTTGGGTATCATTTCAGTAAATAATGTAGGATACCCTTTTGTCAAAAGGTTAAACTCCATTATACTATTTTCTGATGTTTGCAATAAAGACTAAAATTAATGACAAAAACGAAATAATATTAATTATAGTTGTTTTAATGGTAGCTGTTTTCATTGATTATTACTATGCATCTTCCTTAAGCCAGTTTCCACTGAAGACTTTTCTCAGTATTTTGACAGTCATTCTCACTTAAGTATTATTCAATGAGAAACTCTCAAAGGGATTTCTGGATTATTCCACAAACTTTGCATGTTGTGTTGCATGCCATCAAGCCGGAACCAACTCATAGCTGACCCTTCAGTGCTTTCAGAAGCAGTAAATAACACAGGGAGGAGTACGGCCATCCTTCTGCAGAGCAGCTGGTGGATTCGAACTGAGTACCTTTGGGATTGCAGCATAGCTTTGTACCCCTAGACCCCCAGAGCATCTTCAAATTTTGCAAACTAAAGTTTAAACTTAAGAATTGAGGCATCTCTCTCCTAGCTGACATCATGGGTAAGAGAATGAACACAATCTTCTGGTGAGCAAAGAAATACTTTCTAATATTTTTCTTTAATCAACATATAAACATTTTTCTTAATAAAACTTTTATTAAGAAACTAATATGTTTTATTGACTGAACTTACCTTTCAGGCATTTCTTGCATTGTTGCAGGAATAAGTACATCGGTAAGAACCTTAATTATAACACAAGAGAGTTAGCATAAATCTTGACTATATCTCTATAAAAAGACCCTTTACCTACAACCAGGAGAAGATAAATAGATGAATGGGATCTTCTAAGAATCAAGTCCCTATACACATCCAAAAACTTCTCCAACAGGATAAAATGGGAAGCCACAGGCTGGGGAAAAGTATTTGATAATGATATATCAGATAAGGGATGTATATCCAGAATTTGTAAAATACTTGAGCACCACAACAAGATAAAGGTAAATAAGCCAATAGAAAAATGGGCACAGGATATGAACAGACACTTCACCGAAGAAGACATTCAGATGGCTAACAAGCACATCAAGAAATGTTCAACATCCCTAGCTCTAAGAGAGATGCAAATCAAGACGACTGTGAGATATCATCTCACCCCAGTCAGAATGGCAAAATTTAACAGAACAGCAAGCAACAAATGCTGGCGAGGTTGTGAAGGAACTGGAACCCTGATTCACTGTTGGTGGGAGTGTAAAATGGTGCAACCACTGTGGAAGGCAGTATGTCGCTTTCTCAAAAAGTTACAAATAGAGATACCATTTGACCCAGCAATTCCACTACTGGGAATAAAGCCCAAAGAGACCATAACTGACATCCAAGCAGATATATGAACACCCATGTTTATTGCAACTGTGTTCATAATAGCAAGGAATTGGAAACAACCTAAGTGCCCATCAACAAATGAATGGATAGAAAAGCTGTGGTAATTCACACAATGGAATACTATGCTGCATTGGAAAAACAAGGAACTCATGCAATATTATTCAAAATGGGTGACCTTGGAGGACATTATGCTGAATGAAGTATCTCAGTCACTAAAGGACAAATACTGCATGGTGCCACTGTTGTAAAACAGGACTGACCCCGGGGTCGGGGAGAGACTGAGAAAGATGGGTTCAATAATGTATACTGCATTGACACAGATGAGGGAGAAAACTGTTTAAAAGGGATATGTGATTAGGTATTTTTGTCATGACAGGAGTCTAGAGGGAAGGCTACATGGTGGAGTGGACCTGGGGGAGGGTTGTAAAATAATGAAAGAATTTTTCTTTTACTTTTCCAAGAGGGTAGTGTCCTAGGGGGGAGGGTTGGGAAGGGTGAAAAGTGCAACGATGAATGAATGAATGAATGAATGAATGAATGGAAATCCAAAGTCTCTGTAAATATTTACTGAAATTAAAAATAAATTTAAATAAAACAAAAAAAGACCCGTTAGTATCAATTATTTTTTTCTTACGAACTTCCTAGAGAATAACATGTTCATTCTTCTCTGAAATTATAGTTTTATTTCTTAATGAATATTTATATGAATTGATGGATAAAGGCAGGTGGGGCAAGAGATCTAGAATTTCGAGCAATTATGAATGTGGCAGTAACTTACTGGATACAGAGAGATAACAATTACAACAGAAAGAAAAGACTCGGAAATTAAAAGGATATACTCAACTCTAAAAGTCAGTTGACATGGTAGGTAGATTCTTGTAAGTAATAATAGAAAGAAAACATTAGGAAATGTTGATTACTCCAAGCTCAGGAGCTTAGATCGAATAAGAGCAACGGAAATCAATTACTTTGGATAATAAATTGAGTGAGTCAGCTTGGAGAAGAGAACAGATATCCACGAAAGATCTTTAAATAGACAGACATTAATCTACAAAAGCTGTGTAGTTTACTGGCAAAACGCACGGACCCTTCACGTATATTGTATATAACCAAATGCTGATTACTAATGGACTGGTTTTCCTACAGTCTACTGCTTTATGCAAGGAGCACTGATGGACAGTGCTTAAGCATTTGGATTTGAACCAAAAGGTCAACAGTTCAAACCCACCAGCTGTTCCATGGGAGAAAGATTTGATCTTCTGTGCCCATAAATATTACATCCTAGGAAATTCTGTCCGTTTCTACAGTACTGTTGCAGAAAATTTCTATGAGTTAGAATTGATTTGACAATAAACAATAATTAAAAAATACTGTTTATGGACAAAATATGGCTACTCCATAGAGGCTGAATGATGAAGACTTGTGTAGAAACAAAACAGAAGCTCATCTGCTACAGTCACACAATGGAATACTATGCAGCACGCAGGAGCAATGATTTTGAAAATTACTATATGGCATGGGAGAGGCTGGAGAGCATTATGCTAAGTGGACTAACTGAGTTTGTAAGGGCAAATTCTGCAAAAGATCATTATTGTAAAAACAGAAGGACTAGCAGTATGTGTACAAGTGTCCAAATGGAGGGTGCAAAGGAACTGTGGGTGGGGAGTAGGGGGAAATGATGGGGTTGCAGTTTGGTAGGTGGAAGGCAGGGTGAAGGAATTGGGGATCTGAAAAGATGGGGTAAGAGTGGGCATAAGCTGATGGTGATTGATTTTATAAAGCACAATATATGAGAATGATCATATAAAACACAAATTGAATGAAGGAATGTGTGAAACACAATGTTATGAATGAAACACAATGTACATGAATTTTGTATGCAACCCAATATAAAAGAAAAAGATTTAAAAATAAAAAAAAACCCCAAACCAGTTCATACTATCCTGCTTATCGTGCTCATCTTATCTCTGTAGTTCACAATGTTGTTCCTATGTACTGTTGCATTGACAATGACTGACAGTGGCCCTGCGTGTGAACAACAGATCAAAGCCTTGCCCTATTCTGCTCCATCTGCAAGGTCTCTGGCATGCTCCAGCCTGCTGTGGTAGTGACTGCGTCAGTGCATCTCACTGAGGGTCTTCCTGTCCAAGAGCAAACAGATGGCCCTCCATTTTCCATAGGCCACCATAAAGAGGATAGGCTAGGTTTGTTTAAAGAAGTTTAATGTTAAGGATCAAATGTGTCTCCTTAAAATATATGTTGGAATCTTAATCCCTATACTTGTAATTCTATTTGGAAAGAATTTTCTTCATTATAATGTTTTAGGTCACATAGAGTGATTTCTAAAATACAATCATTACTGACTTACAAAGAACAAATTAATCACTGACATACACACACGCATGTACACACACACCTGTGCACACACCCCTAAGAAGGTACATATATACCATGTGAGGTTCATCACCAAGAACCAAGTAATGTCCAGTGCTACCAGTTAGGAAGAAATCAATAGAAAGGAGACTTAGATTTGGGCTTTCGCACTTCAGAACTCTGAAAAAATATACGTCCTTCCTTGAAAGTCACCAGCTTATTGTGGTACTTTTGTTGCAGTAGCATCAAAACACCACAAACATTTAAACTTGAGAATTTTGTGTTGGACTCAAAAAAAGAAGGGCTGTGGTAATGGTTCATGTGGGTGCATGAGTTTCAGGAACTTTGTTAGCACCAATTCTTGGCCTCACCTCCTTTCTCTCTTCTGGCTACTTACTCATTGTGAAGTATCAATAGATAGTCTATTCGTGTAAATGATAACTCTTTGCACTTCACATAATGACTTTATTATTTGACTCAAGGAACCCCTGGTGATGTAATATGTTACAAGTTGGATTGCTAATTTAAAAGTCAGCAGTTTAAAATCTCCAGCGACTGAACAAGAAAAAAACAAAACAAAACAATGTAACCTGATTTAAAACCTCAGAACCCTGATGAGGTATTGAGTTGGAATCAACTGACAGTGAATTTGGTTTTCATTTATGGCTATTTGACCCAGAAAAAACACTCTTCTACCTCTTTTGTCCTGATTTGGCTCTAACTTGAACTCCAATTGGAGAATGTACTGTGTGAGAATCAAGAACTAAACAGAAAATGGAAACATGAGTTTCCTCACTGACTGCAGTGTAGAAATTCTTAGTATGAAAAATTGCTTCTGTACTCAAGTATACCTCATAAATAACTTGCCTCACTGCAAAGTTATGAAACTAAGAGTAATAATTAATTTAGGTTTTATTTCTAAAATGTTTAACAGAGTCCCAGACTGGCTTCACTTGCTCAGATTATTTTTTTAAGTAAAAAAAATTAATTTTTTTTTGTAAATGAACTAGTAGAAAATGAAAATAGGTTTTCCCTCATCCCACAACAGCTTAACAGACACAGTGTTATTTATTCTGAAATGCCCTAAACATTTAATAAAAATAGCTAAATTTTCATGTTTAGTAATTAAATCACATTTGAAATCATTTGCAGTTTTAATAAAAAATTTATATTATTTAATTCAGGTGTTTTTTATCAGAGAAAGAGTGTATTTCTAGCCAAAAAATAGCAAATTTGTAAAAAATATATTGTAAGAATAAATAGATTATGAATTAAAAAATATATGGCCCATTTTTTAGGACAATAAGAAGAGCTTACCTTATAAAGAATTGAGTCACAAACACAGAAAATATCAATGATAACAGGATTTTCAAGCATGGGAAGAAGATGGTCAGGCATTCCTTGCCAAAAATGTAGTAAGAAATGCTGGATCTATTTGTAGAACAAGAAGCATGGACGTTACAATTTTGTCTGAACATGAAAGCATATAAAAACCAGGACATGTGTATAAACATGTGTATCTAAGCATTCTTTGTCATCCTTACCTCTTCAAAATTTCCATTAATTGCATTGTCCAGGATGCACTGACAGTGAGTCTTATACATCATTATGAGAGTATCAACCTAAGTTAAAAAGAGAGAAAGTTTAACCAACACATCCCTTTAAGAGCTCCTTCACTTGTTCATTCACTCAATGTGCCTGTTTTAAGCTGCTGCTATGTATCAGGATTTGTTTTCGGTACTGAGATATCAAAGATGAAAGGCACGTAATTTGACTGTTATAGTACAGCATGAAGAAAAAGATACTCTTGTGACAATGTAGATTATGTGCTGTTTCTACTTGAAAGATCTGCAGTTCAAATCTACAAATTCTTCTCAGGGAAAAAAATGGGCAGTGCCCCCCCCATAACAATTGGCAGTCTTGGAAGCTTAATGAGGGGCAATATAAGTCAGAATCAATTCTATGTTGGTAGGTATGGGATTTTTTCTATGATAAGAACAGTGAATAGCTTAACAGGATGTTACATACAAATGCAATAATTGTGATCTTCTAACCAATAAAATGACCTTTTATTAGGAAAGTAAACTAAAAATGGTAAATATATTCAGTTTTCATACAGCTTGAGGTAACTATTTATTTGTCTTTATCAGGTAGACGCTTGAAATACTATGGCACAGTAGCTTCAAGTTTTGGTTCTAGACCTGTCTAAATAAGAATACTTATAAATTGTAAGGTTTTTCACACAGAGTACAAAACAATGCTAGGTAAGCATAAATCACTTTCTCCCTGAACCTCGGGTTTTTACATATTTACGTTGGTGTTGTTTTGGTTAGGTATCAGAGTTGGCTCTAACTCATAGCAACCCTATGAATAACAGATCTGAACTCTGCTCTATCCTGCACAACCCTCAGGACACGCTCGAGCCCATCGCTACAGTCACTGTGTCAATCGATCTTGATGAGGGTCTTGCTCTTTCTCTGACCCTGCACTTTTCCAACATGATGGAATTCCCCCCCCCAAAGACTGACCCTCTTAATAACATGCACAATAATAAACTTTATGTGTTTGATTAACTCTGTTTTATTTTAGTAAGTAGTCATCTGTTGTTGTTAAGTTCAGTCTAATCGAGTATGACTCATTGAACAAAAGATCTGAACCTGTTCTATCCTGCGCCATCCTCACACTTCCTGATACACAAGAGCCCAATGTGGCAGTCACCACGTCAGTTCACCTGGTTGATGGTCTTCCTCTCCACCAACCATCTACTCTTCCTAGCATCATGTCCCTCTCTAAGGAACAGCCTCTCCTAGCAACAAAGCCTCACCATTCTTGCCTCCAAAGAGCAATCCTGCTGCACCCTCTCCAAGACATGTCTGTTTGTTCTTTTGGACATCCATGGGATGTTCAGTGATATTCTCCAATACCAAAGCTCAAAGGCATCAATTTTTCTGTCATCCTTATTCACTCTCCAGCTTACAGATGCATAGTAAGTGATAGGAAAGACTATATCCTGAATCAGACGCACTTTAGTCCTCAAACTGACATCATTACTCCTCAATAATTTGGAGATCCCTAACTGCAGATTTTCCCAATGCAATATGTTTCCTTATTTCCTGACTGTTAGTACTAAGCATGTTAATTGCAAGATGAAGTTTGCTGACAGTTTCAATCTCTTCTCCATTTATCAGATGTTGCCTATTGGTCCAGTGGTAAGAATCTTTGTTTTCTTGACATTCGGATGCAATCCATACTGAAGGCTGAATTCACTAATCTTCTATAACAAATGCTTCAAGCCCTTCTCACTTTCAGCAAGCAAGGTTGTATCATCTGCCTAACACAGGTTATTGATGAGTCTCTTTCCAATCTTGATGCCTCTTTATACAGCTTCTCAGATAATTTGCTCAGCATTAAGATTAAATAGGTATGGAGAGAGAATACAACCCTGACACACTTCCTCCTCAATTTTGAACCATGCAGTGTTCGACTGCTGTGTTTGCCTGGTCCAGGTATAGGTTCCACATGAGCACAATAAAGTTCTCTGATACTCCCATTCTTCTCAACATCAGTCATAACTTGATATAATCCACATAGTCAAATGCCTTTGCATAGTCAATATAGCACAGACATTCTGGTATCCCTTACTTTCAACCAGGATCAATCTATTGTTAGTCATCTAGCACTTCACAAAGAGACTGTGGTTAGTACTGGTGAAGATACCTATATGAAAACAGACTAAACGTGATGATTACAAAGTGTTCTCTTTTTTTCCATGCTCTCTCTTTCTCATACCTATTTTTCCATAAATATTTACAGAGTAAATTTCTTCATATGTTTGCATGCAAACAGTCTGTCCCACAAAAGTGACCAACAAAACCCTCTCATAAAACTCTGCTCCCTGAAGTCCCTCATATTGGTACAGATTTCCTACACACTTTTACTGGCAGTTTTTCAAATCTAGAATCACAGTATCATGTACTGAATTTATAAGGTAAACGTACTTTTTATATACTTGAGAAATATGATGAGAAAAATAAGTAGAAAATGAAAATATATTTTAGAAAGCATGTTTGGAATCAGCAACTGAGAATTCTTTTTCATATTCTAACCAGGTGACTTGTCATGGTGACTGTCAGATGGGCTCTAGTGTGTCAGGAAATGTGAAGATGATGCAGGTCTGGATGGGGTTGAGATCTGTTGTTCACAGGGTCACTATGAGTTGTTCTTGACTTGACAGCACCTAACAACAACAATGATTCTTAAACTAAGAGCATGTTTTCTCTTCAGAATGAACTCTGGAAGTTGCTATGTATCTCTACTTTCCTATCAGGTTTTAAAAATCAATATTCTACTATTTTTTTCCATTTTGATACAGAACATTCTCTTAAATTAGTTGTGGAGTTTATCGTTCATATGACGTTTCTAGCCATCGTTTAACTTTACCATGTAGATACATGGGAATTAATATGCTAAAGGACATGTTAGCCTATCCATGAGTGGACAGGCTATCTTCCAATCTATAAGAAGATTGGCTAGTCTCACCAATCCACAAGGGATTTGCTAGTCTCATCATTCAATGGAGCACTCCAGCAGGAGGAGGAGAGGCCTCTCCACCATTGGCAAAGAAACCTCACCACCAGGAAAAACACGGCCATGGCTGAACTAGAAACCTGAAGTGCAACGGGACCTTGGGACTGCTACACCATTGGAACCACAGCTAAGAGCCTTTTTCTAAGTTTGCTGGACAACCAAAAAAATATAATTTCCAGGCTAAGACTAAGAGGAGGAACCAATATTGGCAGGACCAAACACTTTAAGTAACACTAGCCTAAAGCCATGAGCCTAAAGGCTGGGGTGGCTGCATGCACATTTCAAAAGCTGTCCTGGCTGTATTCTGCTACTAATCTGGACTGTAAACTTTTGAATTCCCCAACATTGTTCTCTGTGGTCTGTGAGCTACAGCATTGTATTTTGGACCCAGTAAAGCAGTAAGATTTATGTTGAGATGAGCAGAAAGAAGTATGGAAGCATGGCGTGCATGCCTGACCTCATGGGAATGGATTTTGTCTTACTGATGCTGTTGATGGGCCAGTTCCCCTTTGTGAAGCCAGTAAAGATCAGCCTTGGTCTTTATTCTTTACTCTTGGTTCTTATGCAACCCTTGCTGGTTTTTCCAGTAATACAAGTATAAATTGGTTAATCTATTTTTGTACCTCGGACTCAAATATTATGAATCTCAAGTCAAATGTTAATGAAATGTGTATTTTAGTTGAACAACAACAAAACACAATGTAGTCTCCAATTTTGCTGTTAGTCAACCAACAGATATCCCAAAACAACTCTAAAGTGTGAATATAGAACAACTAGGAGATTTTATTCCAATGGCAGCAAAAAGATATACTCAGGGTTATTCAGAAATAAATCTTCTGAAAATGTCTCTTTGTCATTTTTTAAAAAAAAAAAATTGTAGTGTAAGAAAGCATTGATTTTTAGAATTGAGAGAACATTTTGTCATCATCATATGCGATCCTTGTTTCCACCTAAGATTTTTGTGAGTACCAAACACGTGTGTTAGATTAGCTCTATTTCATTTCAGTAAGTAGAAATCCAGGACCTCTCTAAGAGACTTTGCTTACAGATTAAAATATCTAGATGAAAACAACGACTACACATGATGATCACAAAATGTCCTTTCAGTTCTAAAAACCAATGCTTTCATACATTCTCATTTTTTTAAAAGCTGTCGAAGAGACATTGTCAGAGGACTTAATTTATAAATAATCCTCGATACCGTTTTTTGTTGCCATTGCTATAAAGTCTAAGGTTAAGAGACCTCCTAATTTTTCTACTTCCACACCTCTAGATATGTCTTGGAGAAGGTACAGCCAGAGTGCTTCTCAGAGGTGAAGATGATGAAGCTTTATCTCACATACTTTGGACATTTTGGTAGGAGAGGTTGTTGCTTGGAGAGGGGCATCATGCTTGAGAAAGTGGACGGGTGGCGAAAGAGAGGAATACCCTCGACCAGGTGGGTTGACACCATGACTGTGGAAATGGACTTGAGTGTCAGAGATTATGAGGATGGTACAGAATAGGGCAGTATTTAGAACAGTTGTTCACAGGGCTGCTAAGAGTTGTACTTGACTCAAAGGCAGCTAACAACAGAGGGTTGTTGTTGTTTTTTTTTTAATCTGTTAACTAATAGCATAACAGGTTTCTACATATTTTTTTAGTTGTTGTTCTACTAAAATCTACATTCATTCACATTTGTGTTGATATTAATAACATTTGAGTCCACATTCATAGTTCACACTTTTGAGGTATAAAGACAGATTAACCAACTTCTACCTTAAAGTCTGAAAGTGTTCTGTATCAAAACAGAAAATAATTATAAAATATTGATTTTAAAAATATGATAGCAAAGTAGAGATGCACAGTCTCACAAACTTTGGACATGTTGATACGAAAGAATATTCCTTGAAGAGGGATATCATGCTTGGAAAGGTGGACCCATACGAATACTGTCTTCCTTGGAATAATAAAGGTGTTTTAAATAAAAAATAGCCTTGTAGGGTTTATTTTTATCACCTCCTGATTAAGCAGAGAAGGTAAATAGTTAATTGGAAAGTGTTTAATCAATGTTAGTAAACACTGATGACTCATATAAATTAGTCAATTATGTTTGATTATGCAGATTTCTGACTGCTTCCTGCAAGTGCTCTGATAGTCTAGTAAACTGAGATATGGAACCAACGTATCAGAAAATCAATAGAAAGGTATCGTTAAGTGGTACCTTGTCTTTAGAAATGCATCCTTGATACACAAGGTGTTGGGCACTTGGAAATTCTGGAAGAAGTGTTCCAGTTTTCGAGCTCAGTGAGTATTTCCGAGTGAAGCCACCCTTGGGGAAAAAGAAATGAAAAGAAATAAATCATTATCAATTATATGGCGCTAAAATACAGTTCTAATAAAATAAAACCCTATAGAATTGTTTTCTTCTTTCCACAAAGCATGCAAAATTTAGGGATTCAATTAAGCTGTTTAAATCATGTAACTAAATAAATGAGTTGTTATTATAACAGAACTATTGTTTATAAACCATAAAAAGTTTCATATTTTATATGGCTTTAGAATTTTAAAGATTTTTAATTTTGTTTCCATTTTGGTAGCTCTCAGAAATTTAACATCATAATTGTCTATGTCTTAAGTTTCAGAAAGTTTACCTTGAAAAATATTTTAAGAAAAACAATGTATTTAAACTTTGTAAAGAAATCAGAATAATATTTTTTTTAAAATATAACTATTATAAGAGGATTCAGATATTGTTAAAATCAACCCCTTTATTTATGGATAAGATAAATAATATGGTGAAAAATAATGTAATTTTGCTGCATCAGAATAATGAGTGGGAGAATTGTGATTATTGTCAGAGTTTTCTTTATCAATCAACTTCACTCTTCTACCCATCCTTCCCCTACTACCCTAAGTTCAGGTAGTTGTTGTCTTGTCTGTTCTCTTTGGGAAAACACATCTCTAGGAGTGTTTCAGAAAAAATCAAAGAAAATGGCAAAAAAGTAATATGTAATGCTTTTGAGGATTCCTAGTTGTGTAGTTGTTAAATATTTGGCTGCTAACTGAAAGATGAGAAGTTTGAAGCCATCAGCTCCTTCAAGGAAGAAAGGCAGGGCAGTCTATAGTATTTCTACTCAGTCCTATAGGATTGCTGACACAGAATCAATTTTATAGCAATGAGTATTGTGCTTATGGGCCTTAAGAAACACAGAGAGAGGGAATGCATATCTATGACAGAAATAGAATGTAGGAAACTCTGTCTCCTTCAGCATAACAGATCGCTCTTGCCCTATAAACAAAAACTTAATAAACTAAGTGTAATAAAAATTTGGGTAAAGAATTAAATGCTAAATATGGTAAAGAAAGTAAAATTTTCATGTCAACGACTGGATTGCAGTCTTTTAGCTTTTCCACATCTGGACTTTTCATGTGTATTAGTCTCTGTTACATTAAAAGGTTTATCAAACAAAAGATTAATTACAATATAGAGAGCTTGGGTTTCCACCCTAATTAACTTTCAGTCTTCTTATTTCCTTGAACATTTAAGTGGTAAATGGGGACAGAATCGGGATAAAGTTTGTAAGCATTGATTTCTTACTGGCTGATTCCAAGTATTTAACAAATTTTATTTAAAAATATAGTAGAAATCAATTTATTTCTGTTTAGGTTTTAATTATGGATAGAAAATAGCTTATTCTGACTAAATACTTTTTAAAATTAATAAACAACTCCATAAATTAATAATATTCATAAAGTTAACATGATAGCACATAATATACACTTAAACTCCAATTTTAGAAAATTTGCTAATTTTTTATATCTCTCTCTTGGATGTAAAATCATATTCTTTAATCCCAAAATGTAATTTAGTGAGATGGGATGGAAAATACAGAAAAATAAAAAAAGAAAATGATAATACATAATATAATATTAAAATTAAGACTACAGATACAATCTTATATTCATTAAAGACATATTATTAGTAAACAAAAATATTTTCACAAAGAAAAATGTCCAGAAGATTTAATAGGTGAAATTTATCAAACATTCAACAAACAGATAATTTCCAACTTATAGTATGTCTCTCAGAAAATAAAAACAGAATTAATATTTTGCAATTCATTTTCTAAGATTAAAGTTATACAAATATAGAAACAGTAGACCAATGTTACTGTATTTATAAAAGTGCCAAACAAAATATTAGCATATCATATCCAGCAATGTACAAGAATGATGATAGCAAAGTTGATTTTAAAATATTAACAGAAAAAAAGGAGAATATAATGTATTATATAATCATTTTTAATTGATGCAGAAAAGGATTTATTAAAAATCTAACTACCATTTAGTATATTCGCATGAAAATTTTTAAGGCAGAAATAGAAGAAAACTTTCTTAGTCATCTAAATATCTATTAAAAACCTATGAAAATATGCTCAATGACAAAATATAACAAACATTCTCTTTAAAATCATGGACAAGATAAAATTTTCCACTTTCATCATTTTTATTCAACACTGTACTAAAGTTCCAAGGTCAGAAAATATAATGAAAGATTAAAGGCTGAAAAGAAAAAAAATTAGCATTACTTGCAATTAATGTGATTTATTACACAAAAAACCTTTACAATTAACAAAGAGTTTTTAGAAAAGTTGATAGATATAAGATCACTTTAAAAGTCAGCTTTCTCTTTGGACAAGAACAAACTGGGAGGAGGGTAGAGTGAATAGTGCAACAAGGAATGAATGGAAACCCAAAATCTCTGTAAATGTTTATGAAAATTAATAAAATATAGAAAAAAAAATAAAAGTCAGCTTTCTAATATTAAAAACATATAATTTTTTAAAAACTTTGTAGAAAAAATAAATAGCCAATCTTTCAGAATAAATGTGACAAAAGATATGCACAATTTTAATAAAAATATTCTGTGTTATCAAAAGATATTCTAAAAGTTATTAATCAAAGATGTTTTAAGTTATTAATCAAAACATTAATTATGAACATGTCAATTCAACACACATTTCTTTCTTTCTCTGATTAATTCCAATCAAAACCTCAACAGAATTTTCTGTGAAGTTTGGTAGACTGATTGTAAAATGTATGTGAAAATACAAAGGATCCAGAGTAGGCAAGACACTCTAAATTAAAAAAAAAAAGACACTGACTATAGAACTTGCATGATCCAATGTCAAGGAAATAATACATACATACATACACACATACATACATAAATAAATCACTTGTGATGAGTCATCTAATATGTAACTATTCTACTTGCCTGAGGGGCTATCCAAAGAAAGATCTCCCATCAGAAAAATACAGATAATCATAAATACCAAAATTATATTCAAATTATCACACAATTAAGCCACTGATACTCTTTCAATCTTAGGAGTAGCAAAACTGAAAATGTCACTCAGTACAAAGAATTCTTGTGCCCTGCTAAAATGAATATAAATTGATATAACCACTTTGGAAAATAGCCTTTGTCTTAAATGAAATTAAAAATCAAACCAGCTGTCATCAAGTCAATTTGATTCATAGACATATCCTAGTTAGTAAAAAGAATTCCACTTCTGAATATGTAACTTTTACAATTTATTCAATGGAATAAATAATACATTGTAATATTTCCATATACTAGAAATACTGTAAAATAGTATTAATAAAGGAACACAATATAGATGAATCTAAAACAAATTATGCTAAGTGACATAAGTAAATCACAAATATGTTATATGACAACTAAAAAAAAAGGTGAGGAAAGATTTATATACAAACTAAATCTTAGATGGGAGAGAGTAAAATTAAAATAATTTTTTAAAAATTAAAAAATTGGGTGTAGGTAAGGGCAATAGACAATAAAAGTTTGATTAGACATCGTAACAAAAATTAATTCTATTTATCGCCTATAATTATTTTAAAACAAAAGGCCTAGGAACAATTGAAGAAAAAATAATTATATGTAACTTTTACTCAAATTAAGAAAAATAAAAATATGTATATATATTCTTCCCAGTAAAAAATATCTAGGAATGCTAAGGGGGAAACTGTATTATTGTTGTTAGGTTGAATAGAGTCAACCTTTAACTTCTAGGAGTGACAGGATTTTCTCAGCTGTACTCTTTTACTGAAATAAGTCTCCAGGTCTATCTTCCATAGTAGACCTGTTACTTGAGTTTGAACTGCCAATTTTTTGGTTAGCAGTTGAGCACTTAACTGGTGTTACCACCAGGGCTCCTAAGGCACAAAGGACACCTTTTAGTACATCTTTTTAAAAAATCATAGTGCAAAGAAAATTGTAATGGATTCAATTTCTTAGAATATTTTAACAATTGTGTACAAAAATGACATAAATCAAATAATAATATAATTCTCATAATACTTAACACATTCACAAGAAAGAGATACTGATAAATTAGAACAAAGGAAAATATGTTGATCTTAATTCTAATAATAGATTTCTCTTTTAATTGTACTAAAGGAAGTACAAATCAAAGGCCAACTAATTTTTCTTTCTCTTTCTCAACTGATGTTATTCAATATTCTTGGGTGAACTATTAAGAATCTTATTTCCAAAAGAAAGTAAGACAGAACCTATAGAAAAGAAACAAATATAATTAGAAGGCAAGAGGGTCTGATTTATGAGAAAAGATGAAAGGAGTTAAACTTCATGACTTGGCTTAAGTGATGACTAAAGGGGACTATGATAACAGTGTACAAATATTTGAAAAGCATACACCAAGGAGGGGGGATTTGTTATTTATCTTGGTACAAAGTTGTTCAACTGGCCATGGAGGATTGATGTTAAGAAGGAAAACTCAGGCTATCAGGAAACTTTCTGGTTGAAAGGTATAAAATCAAGTGCCTTAATCCCTAAGAAATGATGGTAACTTCCTTTGGCAATTTAAAGCATTATTGGGACCCACAGTCGATTTGGCCCACAGAGTGGACAGAGAAGCTTTCTTTTGCCAGGCTGGACAAAGTATTAGAATGTGTTTTGTTTGTAGACACTTCAGTGTTCTTGAGAATAGAAACTGAAGGAGAACTTGAGATTTCCTTTTGAAGCATGACTTAATGATGTTAACAGATGCTTATATACTAATATTCATATGGGGAGCTCTGGTTGTTTAGTGATATTTGCACACCAAAGTAAAGGCATGTGTTTAGAATCCAAAGATGGACAATCTCCTCCTGTGTCACTTCCTACCTCTGAAAACTCACTGGAAGGTCAGCTTTCAGTAGGTTCTGATTCAAATGCACATAACAACAACAAAAATATTAATCCGTTATGCATATTAATATGTGACTATTTGGCCTAGTGGAAAG